TTAGAACGGGGATCTCCTGTAGATATACCCATTATCCTAGAGTGCTTCAGATATTTATTCATCTGTGTCACTTTTCTGAATTGAGCACTGTTAGTAGCTGCAACCAAACTGGTCTTGCTGCTAGTAGGTGGTACCCAGGTAAAGTGGGAGGCTTAAGCATCACAAAGAGGACTTCTCTGTGTGGATGGGCTGAGCTCTCTATGGAATGATGCTATTCCTGATAAAATGATTGATTTCTGCACTGCGAATCTTCTTCACAACCATATGCTGGAATGGGGGCCTCACACTACTGGTTGCTTGTGAAGCAAGATCTTCCAAGTTCTTTTCTGGAGGGTCGGATTTGACCTTGAGTAGAGTTCAATTTGCCTAATTATGAGTTGGGCTGTAATCAGCTTCTACTGTATTTTTAAAGAAAGGGGAGAAAGACACCTATTTTTAAAACTCATTCTGTTTTTCCCTGGTGATTTGAATTCCAATTTCTAGCCCAATTGTGTCATGGCCTGAGGGGACTGTTGACTCAGACATAGGACAACCTCAACCCTGAGAAACTTAAATCTAAGGAACAAAGAACAAAAGGAGACAGCCTGGAAGTTCAAGAGTGTCTCGGTTTGGGAATTTGTTTGTCTGATGAAAATTAAATCTGTTAGAAAATACCTGTATTAAAATACTATTTGTATTCAGCTTGTCTCGGGGTGCAAATGCCGTGTTTGAATTGGCTCCTCAGCAAGATGCCTGGGTGGCTACACTGTGGCAGACCCTGGAGACATTTAAGAGGCTAGAGTCCCACCTAGGTCTGGCTTTTGTCCCAGAGAAACCACTCAGAAGCCCCAACCCGTATTTCTCTCTGATAAAAAGCAGAAATATAAACAGTCCCTGTTCTTCCCTGCCTTGGTTTCTCCTCTCCTGTGTATCTATTCCTCCACTGTCCTATAATCAGTAAGGACAGCAACTTCTGGAGCTTGTTGAGCTCCTCAAGGTGTTTTTTGCACATTTCCTCTGAAGAGAAATTTAGGCATTGGAGTTTATGGCCAATTAATTCATTTACAGTAAGAAAAAAAAATATTATCCCTAGGATTTTAAACTCAAAAGTAATACTGTTATCATCTCTTAAAATAGCATATTGACTAAGCTTATGATCTGTGGTCTCAAAAATCCAGGAATCAAATCCCAGCTTTATCCTGTGACCTTGAATAAGTTATTTAAACTTTGTGTATCCAAGTTTACTCCTTGTAAGATCAGGGTAGCAATAAGCGTCTCCTACCATTTTTGTCAAAATTAAAAGGAGATAATATCCCGTGAAGCTTAGAGCAAAATTCTGTAAGTAGTGGTGGTTTTTATTTATTTATTCCAACACACACACCCTTGGGGGACTAACCACATCTGAATGAGCCATAATAGCAGGTTAAGTCTTCATCCTGTGTATTTTGGGGCCACAGTACAGTCCATGACAGGACCAGAAGTCAGATTGCTGTAGGTTAAGGGGACAGCAGATTACAGGAATTGGACCCAGTCAATACTGTCAACTCTTCTGAGAACTTTGACAGTTATGGGTGAGAAAAGAGGCTTTCATGTTAACATTGTTATTTCTCTTGGTATTATAGGAGAGTATGGGAAAGCAGAAAGAACATAAGCTATTTCATCAAAGATTTGGTACAAATCATGTCCCTACCTTTTCTTCTATGTGACATTTGGCCATGCAACTCTTTACCTCTGTGGGGCTCAGTCTCCATTTACTTGAAAAATGGATGTTTCTATCTCATTGTGGGGGTTTTATGATTTTTGTAGAAAAAGTCACCTTTCCCACCTCCTGGAATACAGCAGGAACTCAATAAATGTTAGACAGTATATCAAAATCCCCCAAATGATGCTCTTAAAAGGAGCCCGAGTCACACAGTGAAAGCAGTCCTGTGTGGAATCACGCTCTGCTCCCCACAGAGTCCTCCTGCAGGAATCACAGTTGATTGGACTTGGTGGTGTTGTTCTTTAAGTTTATCATATGCTGGTACTTGGTGATGATTTCAGGTATGTTTCTAGATCCTGTCAGCCCCTAGGGATAGAAACAGCCCTTTGGCAAGTAAAAGTCATTAAGAAGTAAGGTACAAGGCAGACACTGCCGGTGTGTCTCCTTTTGAATATTGCATGTGATGACCATCCTATCACACACACTTAATTCGATTATACTGACCCTCCAGCCTTGGGCCTTTTGTCTCAGACTTGGCATTCGCAAATCTGTGACAGCTGGAGAAAGAAACCCTTGGTAGTGTGGTTCAGAGTTGCCGCATGGTGCAAAGGCCAAGGGGTTAATGTGCTGTTTTGTCTCTTGCTAGAGGAAGGGTCCCTGGGTCTAGACAAGGTCATTCCATGATTGAAAGACTGTTCAGAAAATCTGATTAAAATTTCCACTTCTTTCACCCGTGCTGTGTTTCTTGAGACAATAAATAAATGGTGATTCTAAAGAAGGAACTTAAGATCTCACTATCAACAGACAAACTTAATTTTAAAAATATTTCCTTAGGGAAAATCTCTAATTATTCTTATAGAAAAGGGTCTAAGGGCTCCAGAGGAATGGAATTGATCAGCAGCACCTTTTTTATTTTTTTATTTTTTTGAACTGAGTATTGAACCAAGGGTACTTAATCACTGAGTCACATTCCCATTCCTTACAGGGTGTTCCTAAGTTGTTTAGGGCCTGTTTAAGATGCTGAGGCTGGCTTTGAACAAGCAATCTTCCTACCTCAGCTTCAGGAGCCACTGGGATTGCAGGCATGCACCACCATGCCCAATGCAACATCATATTTTATTCATTTTTCATTCACCAGAAAATTCTTAAGTGACTGAAGGTATCACAATGTTAGGTCCAGAAAGTATAGAGCTGTATAAAACTTTAATTCTGTCTTTAGGGGACCACAATGGAGAAGACAAACATGAACAGGTCACAGGGTTATTTAGATATCTATGAAAGAGGGGGTGTGGGAGCTCTGACCAGGCTATCATCAGTTCTGTGTATTGGAACAATCCAAAAAAGCTGTAGAGAGGAAGCATTAATATATTAGCTGCATTATGAAAGATCTATACATTTTAGCAGGTAGAAAAGGAAAGGAGATCATTTTAGGTTGATGAAATTATGCTTAGAATGACAAAGAAGAAGCTTACATAAGCCATTTTTCTAGAAAGCAGAAACTTTCTATTTAATTTTATCTACCTATAATAGGCCTGTTGCATAGCATTTATTTATGTGTTGAGAAATATAATAAAACAACAGAGTCCAAGACATTGGACCTACAGCAATCTTCGGAACAACATCTTCTTTCATTTTCTCACTTTAGGATGCCTTGGGTGAAATCAACCCATTTGTTGAAAGGAATGAAAAAGAAAATTGAAGTGATGCTATTTGAGCTTATTTGATTTTCTCCATAAATCCCAGTTTGAGGCCCATGTGTTAATGTCTAGCTGCGTCCTCTGAGCTACTTTAGCTTTTTGCATTACTGTAGGTACACATCCTACTTACTTTCTCATCAGTTTTATCCTTGTCAGCTCAGAGGTTACTCATGGCCTTCCTATCTTTCTGTATCTCTTTCTATGATCCCAATCTTCTATCAGTATTCTGAAGATTTGTGTATTGCTACTGCCAAATAAGTTAATATGATGTGAAAAGTATAAAATGAATGTTTGCTCGTATCTCCTGTTACTCACTTTGACAAACACAACCATCCTGAGTATTGTTTCTTCATCACTATAGGTCTTGTGTAAATCCTTTGAGAGCAATGATTACAACGTACCAAGATTAGTGTCCCTCTGACCTTCTTTTTCTTGCTAAGCAAGAGCTCTGGTCCCATGATGCCCTCAGCAAGGCAGGGCATTAAATAGGTGCAGATATTATCAAGAGACAGCATTGTTTCAAAAATGGTGCAACTTAGGAGGAAAGCCATGGCTACATATGGGGCCTCCTTCATATGGGAGTTTTTATTTCTTGCTGAGTTCCTCCTATATGGTGTGACCTGGATGGAAACAGGAAGGATTCATTTAGAACTCCATCTCGCCACACTGCAAAGAAACTGGACTGAAACGTGTGCTCCTTTGAGATAAAAACACAGAGATCCTAATGTACCCCCAATACCTCCAAACTTGTGCTTACATGGGTCTAAGGCAAATATGAAAATATTCGTAGATGTTACTTGGGGGCAGGAAAGATACAGTGGACAAATATCTTTGGTATCAATTTTGTTAAGCAAAGTTGAACAGGATTCTTTTTTGCAGGTCTTCTTAAAACCTATATATCCCAATATATTTTTCCAAAATTACAATACAGCATTTACCGGACATATGAGCATAATATTCTTTTTGCATAAAGCATCTTTGAGAAATTGTAGTGAAATTCACAAAGCAAAATAAAACACATTAGATTTTGGTATCATTACAAACTCTTGGTTGCAAACAGGCCTAATTAGAAGTTCCTCTAGACCCTTGTCTTTTTAGTATGCACCTATGGAACTGGATTTATGGCAGTCCAACTGGCTGCTGCAGGTTATTTACCCTCATCAGCACTTGATATGAAAATTTTTGTTTTAACCCCAGGTGAAATACCGGGTTCCAGTGGAATCCTCTGAGAGCATTAGCAGAGTTCTCTGTTGTAGTTGCATGGTACCGAAGGCAATGCAGTTTTTCATCAAGCTGCAGTTCCATTTTTAGAAGAGTACTTGGTATATACAAAATTTTAGGCTCAATTGTGAGTGAGATTTTATACTTTTTAAATGATGTAAAAATGCAAGAATTGTAATGTCTACATTAATCACTAGAATGTGCAAAAAACTATCATGTATAATTGTCTTGCCATTAGATCAGAGAAATATAAAGACGGCTATCAGCAGTGTGAGGATTCTTCCTCTGGGGACAAATCACAGATATATAGCAAACATTTCACTCTGTTTTCCTGTATTGCTCATCATGAGCTTTGGTGAGCAGGGACAGGTCTTAAGATTCTTTCTGGTTTTCCTCCACAGACAGTGTTGAAGATGAACTGGAGATGGCCACCGTTAGGCATCGGCCTGAGGCCCTGGAGCTTCTGGAAGCCCAGAGTAAATTTACCAAGAAAGAGCTCCAGATTCTATACAGAGGATTTAAGAACGTAAGAACTTTCTTCCTGACTTTACCTTTACACAGTTCTCAGAAGAGCTTTGAGAAGTGAGAGGGCGGGAGGGAGACATACTATTCTGAAAGAGCCCTATCCTATGTGTGGTTCTTACTAATCCTATCTGGTTTTAATATAATCAATATCTGTTTGGACTTTGATTCACTTTGGCATACCAATGCTGGTACACTGTAGTTGCCCGTTAAACAAAGGTACTGAAAAAAAATTACTCAATTCAATATTTAGTTGGACCTTTTGTATGTGTGTGTGCTTCACATACAATATCACCATTTCAATAGCTTCATTGATCTCTTCACTTCTTAACTATAATCTGACACTTGACTTATTGATTGGGGATCATCAAGTAACTCCGTTCCTGGCATTGGAGAAAAGTTCCTACAAATTGTATTGCTTGTAGGTAGTCACCAAGTTTGGTTCTTTGTTATCCATGTGTGCAGGTGTCCTCCTTCCTAGTGGATAATCTTCAGAAGGAGTGATAACCCATGCATTCAGAGGTCAGGGGAGAGAGACAAGGAGTGAGTTACAACAATGTATAAGGCACACATTTCTCCTGAATACTTGGTAGGAGCTTAGTGTTAAGCTAGATGATTCTGGTTATTCAAAAGCCAGAGAAGACTTACTCTGTCATCAAAGATCTTATGGTCTGAATAGGAGTGAAGACATTGTCATGAACCCATTTAAAAATAACTCATATATATATATATATATATATATATATATATACACACACAATACCTTTATTTTATTTATTTATTTATATGTGGTGCTGAGGATCGAATGCAGTGCCTCACATATACTAGGCAAAAGCTCTACCACTGAGCCACAACCCCAGCCCCAAATAACTCATTCTTAAAAGTGCTAAATGATTATGTATCAAAAAGCATAGCAACCTCACATAGAGTTTTTTTCTACACATCTATAAATCGAAGTAGGTAGCTGTTCCTAGAAACCCAAATTAAGTTGCTTTGATTCCCCCCAAACCTATACTCTAAAGAGACCAATTCCATGTCTTTAGAGGCTTGTGGTATCCATAGATTTCTATCAATCTCACTACCTCAACTGCTGCTTTTGTCTAGCCTCAGGCAGACCAGATGAGAAACTTTGCCTACTCTTTGGTACTCACAACAGAACTTTCTTCTGAGAATTCATCCTCTAGTTGACTTTTCAGGATATTTTTACAGGGTTTTCATTATGCACATTGCACATACACAGCCTTCCACCATTTCCCTGAGTACATGGAGGTCTGCCTTCCTCCAATTCATATCCACATCCTTCTCCATGTCATAGGATTTCTCCTTTTTCCTCCCTCATTGTGCAGAAGGGCTTCCTTCCACTTCCAAACCTTGGCCATCTACAAACACCCAGGCTTTGTGGTGATGGACTGGGGCAGCAGAGGCTCTGATGGAGATGGGTGCTCGCCACAGAGACAGGACTCTAATTAAAGGGAATCTTGAGTGTAATCTGAGATGAACATCCATAAAGAGAAAAGGGCTTTGAAAACTAGTTTAACAAATCATCGTTGTATGTCTTCTACAGTAGTTTATGGGTCTCAGGAGAAACAGCTGCACAGTAGAAACACACTGAACAGCAACAATGGGAAAGGAAAGGAGGCAAAGCCAACCAAATGTTGGCTAAATTAAGTCAATGCTAAGAGAAGGCTAATCAGAGAGAAAGACTTGAAATGTGCGCATTTACAAAGCTTAGAAACATCTAAACTTCTCTATTCTAGCTCAGATATCTTGAGGTAAGCAAGCTACTGTTTCTTTTAGCACTGAATTGTACAGTAGATACCAATGGCTGTCCAATAAAGCAGTTCTTGGTCTAACATTCCAGCATCCCTGGGTTCCTTGAGTGCTATTGAGTTATTAGTTCACTGCCGTCACTGTAGGGTCTTTCCATTTGAGGACTGGCTACCTTTTGTCCCATTTGCTGTAAGTTGGAATCATGATTACTGCCAGCATGAACCTTGAAGCCAGCATGTCTTACATGCATAGCACTTTTCAGTAAATTGTCAGGCTCAACGTCTGCATTCATTGCTCTTTTCTATTATTTTTTCTTTGCCTACTTGTTTTGTCTTCTCCCTTTCCTCTCTTTCTCTATCCTCTTTTCTCTGCCTATTTCTCTACTCCTCTTTTGTTTCTTTCCATTCTTATATACTCTCTTTCCCTTGTGCAATTATTTCCTCCTGTATTTCACTTCTTCCCCTTTCTTCCTCTTTCCCTATTTCTTCTTTTCCATTTCTTTATTACTCTCTCTTTCTGCCCTGCCCCACTCATCCCATGAGACAAATTTCCATCAGACCTGAATGTGCCAAAGAATATTTTATGTACTTCCTTAAAAGATTTCACAGTTTGTTCATAAAATATCAGTCAATGTTTCTGATGAAACAAACAAGAGTGGCCTTTTAATCTTTATGTTAACCTTCTCAAGTGCACAACTCTAATAAATGTGCCCTGAAGTCTGGCAAGGGGGACACCGAAGCAGGTCAGCAGCACACATATTTCACAGGAGGGAAGCGATCTGAGCTTGCTTCCGGCAGAGAGAGCTGAGCAACTGCCCTTGGTTTACGGAATAGCAATTATCTCAAAGTCCTGAAGATCAAAAAATCATTTCCCTGGAAACAACTGGGATGCTCATTTTTAATGAAACCTTTTAAAAGTCCCCATATTTTGATTAAAAGGATAAACCATTCATCAGCATTTTAAAATAGTCACACTTATATGAAAGTAACTCAACTTGCTGGGCACTCCTCTAGGTTTAGCTTAGCAATTCTCCAGTTTTTTTCCCCATATAGTGCCTCTAATAATATTCCCTCTCATTTTCAACACAAGATTGTTAAAATAAATGGGCAACAGGAGAAAGAGAAGATTTCTCATCTCTTCAGACAATTTTTTAAAATATTTTTTTAAGTTGTCAATGGACCTTTATTTATTTATTTTTATGTGGTGCTGACAATCAAGCCCAGTGCCTCATACATGCTAGGCAAGCGCTCTACCACTGGGCCCCAGCCCCAGCCCTCTTCAGCCTATCTTGCTCATTGAGTCACCCACACTCTTCTTTCCTCTCACAGCTTGCTAAACAGAGTTTCAAAAGTGGGCAGCTAATAGGGATGGAGAAGAATGTTCTATGTATTTCTGCACCATTACTGTGCTCAGAATCACCTGCTCGGCCTTAGCCTGAATGATGATGACTTAGGACACTGAATTTGCATTTTTTGGAAGTTCTCAAGTGATGGAGATGCTGCTGGTTCAGGGTCCACACTTTGAGAAACACTGGAGTAGTAAAGGTATCATGAGGTTTGGTATCACTCATATTTGGATCTGTATCTTACTTGTTACGGCAGCTACCTCTGACTCAGTGCCTTGCTTTTTTTGTCTTTAGAAGTTGGAATAATGATAACAACATCATTTTTTTTTTCTAGAAATAAACCTGAGATTCAGCAAAAAAAGGAGTTTGTGGCCCATAATACAATATAGTTATGTTTTCCATCAATATGAGACAGTCATGGTTGGCCTACATAGCTCCCAGGCAATGTCTTGGGCATTGGACTACATAATTATGTACTAGAAAGGATGCAGAAAGATACAAAGTATTGTCAACAGATCAGCAGTCTCAAATTTAACTGCATGTTGCAATCCTCTGGGGAGCTTTAAAAATTACAAATAGTTGAGTACCATGCTTGGTGATTCTGATGTAATTGCTCTGGGAAAATGTTCCAGCATCAGGATTTATAAAGCTCTTTGGGTAACAATAATGTGCAGCCAAAATGAGAACCACTGAACTAAATGTAAGAATAAGTCAGGTTCTCATATACCAAAGAATTGACATGATTGTAATGATCCTTAACATGTCAAATACCAGTGACTAGACTAGCTATATTGGAACCTTATGAGGTGTGTGTGTGTATGTGTGTGTGTGTGTGTGTGTGTGTGTGTGTGAGAGAGAGAGAGAGAGAGAGAGAGAAAGAGAGAGAGAGAGAGAGAGACAGAAAGAGAGAGAGAGAGAGAGAGAGAGAGAGAGAGAGAATGAGAGGAAGAAACAGGCTGGGAGACAGAGATAATACTTCTTATGTCTGATGATTTTGATTCAATTCTGTCTAGTGTGATGCTCGGGAATATTTTTTTTTTTTTTTTGGTAGTGCTGGACATTAAACTAAGGGCCTCTCATATGCTAGGCAAGTAGGCAAGTGCTCTCTATCATGGAGCAACAACCTCAACACCAAATAGCTGAATAGCACTTTTTTTTTTAATTGCATCATAATAGAGAAGGAACTAAATCCCACAGTACAGAACAACCAACCTAGAAACACATGTAAGTTTATATATATATATATATATATATATATATATATATATATATATATATATATATATAATTTTGTTTCTTGTTTTACTGCTCTTTGAAAATCAAATAGAACTTATTCAATGTTAGGTGATCACAAATGTCTACTAGGGCATTAAGTTTTAAATGATGGTGTCTCTTTGCCATTTCCTTTTGTTGATTAATAATTTACAGCCTATTCTTCCCATGTTTTAAAGCATAAAATGAGGGGTAGATAGACCTCTATGCCAGAGAAGCCTCGTTCCTTCCTCTCTTGGATCTTTCTCTGCTTCCTTTTCTTTTACTGTTTTGAATTCTAAGAGATCAAAGTATCTATTAGACTCAAATATTATTTTTTAAGGCAACACTTTCTTACTTTTTTATATCCCTTTGCCTAAAAATGCTGTGTGAATATCCTTTTTACCTAAACGTGAAATATTTGCATTCAATTTCTATTGATGTTTAACGAATCACACTTAATGTCTCACAAGGTGTCCATTCATCAGGTCACAGTTTTGAAGCTCAGGAGTCCCTAATGATATAGCTGGGTTCTCTATTTAGAAGAGGACCTGGGATCCTTGAGCATAGCCTCCTGGAGCCAACTCATGCAGTTGGTAGAAAATCCAACACTTGAGTTGTATACCTGAGATCCCACT